GTGACTCATTAGGAAATAAACAGAGGCATAATTGCCATCTGTGTTTCAGTCCGTTTAATCTTTTCTCTCTCCAGTCATGGAAAAAAGGTCATAAAAAAGGTTGAGGTCTGGTTTTGTGATATTTTTGAGAGAAGCTGGCTTAAAAAAATTACAGAAAAGAAAGGGAAAAAAAACCCCAATACTGGCTCTATACATTATCTTAGACAAAATGGATTAAATTTCTGACACCCTACTCATCAAATTCTGACCTTGATTTGACCCCATTGGCTTTTTACTGTTTGATGTTCTCAAACGATTTGGTGCCACTTTTCCTTAGTAGTGCAGTTAATTTTGAGTGTTAGATAAGAGATCAATAGTCATAGCTTGAAATTGGCACCTTTGGACGAAAAATATGTTGTGTGGCAGTAACATAGATTTGATAGTACTTCAGTTAAGAAAATGGTGTACTCTTTCATTATTGTTTCCAATGACAGTATCCAGAGTGTTATTTCATTCTCCTACCAAGCTTCTGACAGTCTCTTGTAATATCTTATCTATCAAAGAGTTTTCATTCCTCTCCTTTCATGCTTGGCTTCTGGAGTGGAACTTTATTTAAAAGGTCCCTGAAAGTAGAAAGAATGACCATGGCACTTCTGCTATCAAGCTGGTCAGTAAGAAATAAACCCTTTTACTTCTAGACTTGTATCTGGCTTCTTTCTTGCCTACATTGAAATCTCATCTGATGTGCTGGCCGTACAACAGAAGCTTAGCTGACAGGAGGAAGTAAGTGGCCTGTTGAATAAGGTCTAATCTTCTCACAGGTAGCTGGGTTTTGCATATTGGCATTAAAAGGAAGAATGGGAATGCCATCCCCACCTTTGTTCGTATGAAAGTGCCCTGTGCCTTGCTTTCAGCCCACTGCTGCAGTGAGAGGTGGGCCTCCGTTTGCAGGGGATGGTTGTTCCTACACTGCTGCTTGGAGTAGCTGCCTCTGGAGTACACAGCTGCTCTGGAGTACAGGGCTGGGGCTGAGGCAGTCTCTAGGGCACAGGATTTGCCAGGACTGTGCTCCTTTCTGTGGGGTCCCACCCCAGAGCATCTGGTACTGTGGAGGTGTGATGAAGCCCTTCTTCAGGCTTACAGCAATGCAGGTGCTGAACAGTTGGGGGAGTTTTCAGCATGCCACTAAAATCTGGCTTCCAGTGCAAGTGTGCCCCTCCTACTGTGTCTCTTTGGATATCCGGACTAGTTTCATCCAAATTTGACAGGTGGTTGGAAATACCTTTTTGACCAAATTCAATGAAATTACGTACGTGGGGGTAGAAAAGAAAATGGAGATAGGCCCAGGAGAGGAAAGGCTGTGGAGAGAGGCACTTGGGAAAGAAATGTCATGACAGTCTCAGGTACCGGGAAATGTCAGCTATGGCTTGTGCCTTCTTCGTACCAAGGAATCCAGCCTTTGGATACAGATGAATAAGGAAGCTGGCTGCAGCGGTCTGCTGCTCCTGGAACTATTTGATTCATTTTCACATATTTCCTAGGAAAATCATGAGCACCTTTGTTCCACCAACTACTTGAAAAACATTCCCCTGACTCCCCGAAAAAGAAGTTTTCTTTGAAGCTGAAGTAATTTGTCAGGGACCTTCTGAAGAGCTTTTTAAAAGCCAAGCACTAACAATTTCAGATCAGCAAAGTCTTTAGTTTCTCTTTTAACTTGGAACCAATGACAGAAATTACCTGAATGTGTTTCTGATTAGTGATGATGATAGAGCAGGGAAGGTTGGAGTTGTGTGGAGAGTTATTCTCCTGTGCGTCAGTTAACCATTTGAATTACTACAGTATAATCTGGACAATTGTTCCTTTTGTACCACCAGCCTTGTGGCTGCTGCCCAGGAGCAGAAATAGTCTTCCTCTCTGCTAGGGAACAGTCTGTTCAGATGCAGTGATGGGATATTCAGACTCCTAATCCAGAGGAAATCTTACCAACAGAAAACTTCATCCGAGTGACCACTATTGGTCATGGCACATGCAGCTACTCTTTCCAAGTGATTCACTTAGGCCAGATTTAAATGGCAGATGAGGGGAGAGTTGTCTAATGCATAAGGTGATGCTCTGTAGGAACTGGTGCTGATGGTGGCAGTGACCCGGCAGGAGAGGCTCGTGCTGTAGGCTCGCTGACTTGATCCAGGTTGTTGGCAGCCAACAGTAATTGTTCCACTGTTATCTTTGACACACAGTGTGTTACTGCCATTATTCCACTTGTTTGAGTTTGTAATTATGGGGAACAAATGCACTTAGTAAAAAAGACCATGATCATAGTCATTTGATACAACTTATTAATACGTGCTTCACAAGTAATCCATGAGGATTTCAAGAGCTGTCCCTTTAGGAGTGTTCAGCTCATTACAGCAGCTGGAAATGAAGGAAGAGTGTTATCGAGTGAGCCCTTTCTAGAGGCACAGCTCTTTCTTATCCCATTCCACAGAAAGGAATATCAGTTTCTGCAGTTCATCCTCCATGGCCTCTTCAGGCTGTTTACTTGAGAACCAAGTGCCCAAGCCAAAAATCATTTTTACACCTCGGAAACAAAGATGCCCAGTTTAAAACCATCTCAATTTTTACTGACTCTGTTCTCTAAGTCATGATGCCTAACTGTGTTGAGGAAGAGAATGTAAAATATGCAAAGTAGTGGCTGGGATGGTGTGCAGGATCTTTGGGTGCTGTTAATCACTGCCAATCCAAAAAATTCAACAGAGCACTGTCCATTTACAGTCACTGAAGATCTGCTCCATGCTACGAGCAATGAAATCTCTTTGGAGCAAAAGAGAATAGGGACAGACTTCCAAAAGGCAAGATTGCCTGATTTTTGTTAAGAAACCTGTGGCATATCATTGTCAGCTTTTCCTAGCCAGCAATCAGAAGTCACGAAGTCTGAATGCAAATACAGACTGCAGGGAAAATGAGAGGGCAACCAGGCCCCATTTCCAAAGGATTCCTGCATCTTTGAGTAGGCACCTCAGCAGAGAAGGCTCTGAATGGAAGCAGTTGTGGCAGGTGCACCATGATACTTTTCATGAAGAAATGAGGACTTCTATAATAGGTTCAGGCCTCTGAAAGTGGTAATATTTTCCTTTCTGCTTTCTTTACTATTCAATCTCTGGAGAGCATGTGCAGATAGAATGGGGAAGAAATATTTCTCCGTGACTTTCTGGCTGTTTAGCAGAGGAGCAATGGCAGAGTGATAGGATAAAGACTGCCAAGAAGAGATGTTGTAGATACCCGTAACTTATGCTCTTTACCTGACAGCACCTCTGAGGCCTGCAGATATGAAAGGGAGTTAGACCTTGTACTAAGGAGCTTCATGCTTTCATTCTCTGACTCGGGTCTGGAAATGCTTTGTGTACTGCTTTCCTGACATTTATCGCCTCCTGAAGGCAGTTGCATTTAGCATGCTTTTCAATAGGCCTATGTTCTTCTAGCCACAAGCCCCAACCTGCTGTCAGGAAGGCTTGGACCTATCAAAGTGATGTTCTTCCAATGTGTGACCTGTGTTTAATTTGCAGCTGTCTGGAGAGGTTTTCCCTCACAGGAATGTTGGGGGTGTACCGAGATAACCAACTTCCCAGATGCGTGGCTGGGGTTCATACATGATCTTATATAGGGAAGCCCATACGGGTACGTGTACTCCAAGGGGAGGACTGAAAAATTAAGTTTCTTTCAAGGGTGTGTCTTTGTGGCGGACTCCTGCTGTAATCGATGAACTCATGATAAATCATAAATTCCTCTCATAGAGGCAAAGCCTCAGTGGTGCTGAGTACCAACAATTCCCATTAGCTTCAATGGCAGCTGCAGGTGCTGAGTGTCCTGGTTATATCTGCGAGACTCTGGCCCCAGGCCTCACCTCCTGCAAGGGGGGGCCGTACTGTAATTCCTTACTCTGCAGCCAGACGTTCCTACCTGGCAGATCCAACTGCATATGGATACTTGCTGTTCTCCTTGGCTGGGATTTGTTGCTGGTGGAATAAAGTTACCACACTGCTTTAAATCCAGTTTAACAGCAGGAACAAAGATTTAGTAAAAAAAAACCTTTAATGAAACTTCATTTATCTTAACTACGATTTTTACTATTCCCTGAAAGAAGCCAGCTTCTTCACATACCCTCTGTGACTCGCCCTGGGTCCCTGAGCAGCTGCCATCCTTCCCAAGTTCAGTTTTAAACCTAAACGAATGCTCTGGCCTTGCCTTCCAATAGCCATTGAGTACATTTTGAAAAGCAGTTCCGCCATAGCTGCTCTGCTCCTCTTGTTTACGCTTTTCCTGACTTACATGTTTCAGTGCCAGTGTACATTACTCGTGAGTTATTCTAGAGTAGCTCCAAAGCTGTGCCAGGGAACTTTCCCAGGTTATAGCACCAGCTGTTCAGAGAGGTGTTTAACAACGTGCTTGACTGTGCATTTAGGTGATGTCATTCATTACTTAAGGAACACATACACTTACAGGTAAGAAATGCTTAAAAATGTCTTGCTTGGTCAGGACTGGAGCCCGTAATCTGCTCTGCATACTGCAGTTCACCAGGAAGGCTAGATTTGGTCACAGGGTTCAGTGGGAGCAAGAGCAAACTCCAGACCACTGAAGAGATGAATGAAAGAGAGTAATCACTAGAAGACTTCGCAGATGAGATTTGATTACCTTGCTGAATCTGGGGTTTCTTCAGGGATGGGATCTGCGAGAAATCCCTGGCATGCTAGTTACATAAAATTGCTATTAATAGTGAATTATTTTTAGAAGGGAAGCTGACATATTGTAAAAGTGTCAAATGATAATGATATGGTAGTTGGTATATGTAATGTGCATTTGCAGCCTGGATTGTTAGGCACTTCTAGGTTTGCTAGAAATTTCAGGTACATCCCTACTGCAACTTTTAGTGTAGGCAAAATACCCAGCAATACGCGAGTAAATGAATTTGAACAGGAACTGCAAATTCAAAAGAAATGTCTGATTTGCTTTATTACTAGGACTACACGTGCTGAAAGAGTTTGGTCTGGTTCATTAGAGCCAGATGTAAAAATGCTGCCTCCAGCTAGCTCCAGCCCCTGCAAACTGCCTTTGCGAGCACCTTTCCTCCCTGCCGCCTGTCTCCTATGAGCCCTCTGATCTCTGCCCGGCTGGTGAGTGACTGCTCATCCTTTCACCTTTACAGACCTTTACCTCAAAGTGCCCAGCCCCTCTGTAGCTGAGGTCAAAGCCTCCAAGTCTATCCAAATCTATAGTATTATTTGCCTGGTGTATACCCATATTGGCGTGGCATGGTGTCATGGTTTAACCCCAGCCGGCAACTCAGCACCACACAGCCACTCGCTCACTCCCCCCGGTGAGATGGGGGAGAGAATCAGAAGAGTAAAAGTCAGAAAACTCATGGGTTGAGATAAAGACAGTTTGATAGGTAAAGCAAAAGCTGCACACACAAGCAAAGCAACACAAGGAATTCATTCACTCCTTCCCATCGGCAGGCAGGTGTTCAGCCATCACCGGGAAAGCAGGGCTCCATCACACATAACGGTGACTTGACAAAGTGATGACAAATGCCATTGCTCCAAACGTACGCCCCTTCCTTCTTCTTCCCCCAGCTTTATATGCTGAGCATGATGTCATATGGTGTGGAACATTCCTTTGGTCAGTTGGGGTCAGCTGTCCTGACTGTGTCCCCTCCCAAATTCTTGTGCACCCCCAGCCTACTCGCTGGTGGGGTGGGGTGAGAAGCAGAAAAGGCCCTGACTCTGTGTCAGCACTGCTCAGCAGTAATGAAAACATCTCTGTATTATCAACACTGTTTTCAGCACAAATCTAAAACATAGCCCCATACTAGCTACTATGAAGAAAATTAACTCTATCCCAGCCAAAACCAGCACACATGGTTTCATTCTTCGCATGACTATACAGAAAGGAGTGTTTGAGTGTTTGTGGATCTGGAAAGGACTGTTTTTGTGTGCACACAACTGCTATGTGGGGCATGAGTAAGAACAGTTATGCAGTTTTATAGAGTGAGAACAATATGCTGGGAAGCTCCATAGTGCCTGTGATGTTTTGTCTGAGCTGTTTTGGTCTAGGACTGAGTTTGTCTAAATTGTGGTGATAGCCATTTTGAACAATTTCTTGCTATAATGTCCTGGAGCTGATTGTAGCAATGGGATAAAATAATGGATTGTGAGAAGCAGAGGAAATACTGGACTGTAGTGCTTTTAGGAATAATAAAATGCCTGTTCTGCAGTATGTTTAGCAATGCATAAAGAAACAAATAATCTGTGGGGTTGCTTCGTGTTTTTCCAAGCTTTTATTAGGATGTTAAAGGTAAAATCTTGGCCATCTTGAAGACAGTGGGAAACTCTGCCTTTGCCTCTCTTGGGTCAGGATTTCTTGCTTACGTCTGTGCCTGCTATAACTGGCAAATCACCAGAAATGCCATCACAGCTAAGCTAGGAGAACAGAGAGGAGCAAGCATCTGAACTGTACTTTCTAAACAAAACGGAGTGCCTCCAGGCGGTGCTCAGGGGCGGATGTTGTACCTGGCCACCCTCAGTCCATCTCCATGCTGAGGGTCTCCTGAGCAAAGAGGTGGAAGAAGCCAACAGGAAACACGGCTGCTTGGAAACAGGGCTCAGAGATGGTAAGGGACCCATGGCAGGCCAGGGGCAGAGCTGGGAAGAGGTCCTGTTGGCCTGACCACCTCTGATTGTGTAGCAATCTGTACGTACAAGGAATTTAGCTAGTACCACAACTAAGTAAAGCTACATTGAGTTAAAAGCATCCCAGAAGAAAGCAACTTCTGCTCCAAAATCCTGACAAACAAACCAGAAAAAAAACCCTCAATTGCCCTGAAATCTTGCTTATGATATGTATTAGTGCCTGGAAATTCTCCAAATTTAAGTGACAAATGTTTGGAGCTGGAGTATGTGAAATGGTGCCGTACCTCATTTCTGAGCTATGCAAACCTGGACCAATTTGACTGCATACTGCTTCAGCTCCGTCATGGGCTGGGAATTTCTGTACCGAGTTTTAGCCTAAGAGCAGTTACAACGGCCCAATTTATAAATCTCTCAAAGATCTTAAAATGATGCTACTGATCTCCAAATGATAGCCTCTTAGATATTATTACTGAAACTTTCTGGAAGTAGTGCAAACCAGGAGGGAGCAATTAATCCTTGGAGTAACCCCATTTACTCTAGCAGTTTGGCCCTGAGGGAGTAGCAGCACTTGATGTCTGACAGAAGCCCCAAATGTCAGTGTTTCTCCCCTTGTTCATTTGCCTGCTTGCTGTGGTAGATTTCATGCCGTTATAAGCTGTTTATGTACAGCCTGATCAAAGTACTTAATGACAGGGTTAATTTCTACGTATAATGAGGAAATCAAGACAGGAGACAGGTACTGTGTAATCGAATTTTTCATTTTAGAATTCGTTTCTCTTCATGTATGGCTTAGCTTTGATTTTTATTACCATTAATTTCTGCATTTACTGTTCTTTCTAGTCTCTCAGATGAGCTAAACCTACTGCGGAAGTAGCGGAGGCACTGAATTGTTCCAACAGCTCCCATAAAAGTATGGTGATAAAGTAGAGAGAGTCTATAACTTCTCTGCAACAAGTCCTCAAAATGCAGTTTGGTTTGGGGGACGGTTCTTAAAAAAATTACACTGCTTAAATAGTCTACTGAGACATCTAATCCTCTTTTTATGACTCAGCAGGTATGTGCACAGGCATGGATGCTTAGGTATGTGTGTATACAGCCAGAGAAAGAGACAAAGATTGTGTTAATATCTGGAAGTCTTATAGTTTATGAAGTGTGTGTCTTCAGCAAGACTTTGCAGACATAAATGAATCGCCACAGCATCCCTTTGAAAGAGCTGATGGTGAAAAAGAGGTTAACGGTCCTCATTTCTCAAAAGATGGAAATGAGACGTGGAGCATTAGATCTGCATTTGCCCTGCTTATTTTGGTTTTCATTTTTAGATGCACTGAGCACTGTGAATATTTCTGGACATTCAAAAATCTAGGGGTACAGAAGTGATGGAGGCCTTAGAAAATATGACTTTCGCTGAGGTAGCCAGCTTCAGGAATCAAGCAGGAAGTAGAGACGAAATTAAACCTGGGCATATCCAGCTCACTCTGTATCCACTGTGTTTCTCTTTTTCTAGCACTCTAAATTTTAGGAAAGCAGGGATTTAAAAGTTCATGTGATGCTATATTCGGTGAACCACTGTTAGCCAAGTTTCCTTATAGCTGAGGTAGAAATCTTTCTTTGTGAGGAAAGTGCACCTCTATTAGCACCACTGTGCAAGCTGTAGTTTGCAAATGTGGTGGGAGGCTTTGCTCATGCTAATTTGGGCTCAGTCATGCACCTCTTTTCCTCTTTTACATGCAAATAGCAGCTGTGTCAGTCTCTGGGATGCCTGCTTGTTCCTTTAACAGAGAGATTCCAGTTCATACCTTCAACCAGTGCATTTGTGCGTGGGCAGAGGTATAGCACAGTGGTACAGTTGCTGACAAGGAAAGAGCTGTGATGGAGGTTGGAACAAGTTAGTGAAATAGAGAAGTTTTGAAAGAAGACGCTGAGCTCTTCTGGTGTGTTTTCATTTATTAAAAAAAAAAGGGGGGGGGATGAGGAGAACAGCAGAGGACTACAGAAAATGATAATCCATGATCCTGCCCCCATAAAAAGGGATCTCTTGATTGCCAGGGGGATACATTTCTTTCTTCTGAACCCAACGGTTCAGGCAGCAGGCCCGGCGCTGTAACAGGTCAGCCACCAGCCTGCGCAGCTGGGACAGTGGTGGGCTGCATGCAGGTGCTTGGATTCCTCACTGTGGTGCTCCCGTGCTGAGGGAGCTGAGGTGGTGAGCTGTCCTGCTGGGAACCACAGGGGTGCCACGCTTGCCCGGCTTCTGCAGGCTCTGTGCTCCAGAGGGCTCTTGGCCTCACCAAGCCGCTGGCTGCTCTGCCACTCTGCTCTCCCAGCATTTTCCATGGTGGGGTGCAGCGTGTCTGCTCTGCTGCAAAGACAAGGAGGTTCATGGTACTTGCTTGGGGCCAGCCAGCAAATTGGGTTGAAGTAATTGAAAATAAAACATATTGGCATGATGTTATTTTCTCCTCTGTCTTCAGCCTTCACCTCTGCTTTATGGTTGTGGCTACCTGAACCCAGCCGCTATGTTACTATGGCCTCTTCCCCTTTGAAAGGCCATCCCTGCTCTTGTGTCACAGAAGTCAACGCAAAATGAAATCAGATAAAATCATTTCCATAGCATCACTTTGGATGCCACTAAACTTAATGAAGAAAGTAGGCATTAGTGCCATGCGGGCCATGCAACCTGTGTTGTACAACAAGGATCTGTTTAAAAGGGTATTTGATTTAGGGTGCAAGGATTTCCAGGAATTTGGAGTGCAAAGTTTTCTAGGAAGGTCAGCTCAAATGAAAGAAATACGATGTCTCTGTGAAGTTCTCAGTTGAGTCCGTAGGTGGCTTGCCATGAGGGTTTTCAGAAGGTGACAGCTTGCCTTTCAGAAAGCCCTGGCTAGTGTTTGTCTGCTCTCCCCCAAAAAGACTGCCTTGATGTCAGTGCTGCAGTGGGACTCAGTGTACAGCCAGGACCCAGCGTACATCCACTTCTTTGTGTCCAGGGACATCCTTGGAGGCTGTAACATAGTAACTGTGAAATAACTGTGCTTCAGCTCCCCCCGACCCGCTTTATCATCTTCTTGAATATATCCCGTCTGTGCGTGTGCAAGTGACAGGGAGTGGGGTAAGGGGAAGAAACTTGTGTACATGCTTTAATCATACTGATGGAGTGAAAGTGATGCCATCTTTATATAGAGAAGGCCCTTAAACACCTCTCTAGGCTCTCCACTGAGCTGTGGGGAAACAAGGCTGTGACCTGTAGAGTTTCCATTGACTTCAGATTTGGCAACACTAAATTAAGTGGGTAATATGTTGTGACACAATAGGATGAAATCCTGGCCCTAGTAATGGCAGTAGATTTTCATACTGATTTTGAAGGTATTTTAGGATTTCAGCTGTAGAAATTGGTGGCAAACCCCATGATGAAATAATCTAGTTATTCCCTGTCAAACGGAGGTTCCTTGGTGACATGAATATTATAGAAAGTGCTTTTCAAATGG